GCTCAGGTTGGTTTCCATTCTTTGGGTTTAGTGTTCCAGCAATAGAAACTAACAGATTTGTCCTTTAATCCTTATAATAAAATGGCCAAACCCTTAAAAAGATCAAGTTTCCACTAGACAATTTGATGCCTTAATTCTTTGGCAGTTTGGCAGAAGAGTAATGCCAATTTCTAACATTGTTACAAAATTTAATGTGCGTGTGTGATTGGGTTTAGAAAGCCCCATTTGCTATTGTGTTTTTGGCTCCTTATCAGACTTGTCTGTATTATGTGATGTGATGTGAAATCATCCTGTGCCCTAGGGCTTGATGCAATTAGGTCCTTGTTGCTCATACTATTTGAAGTAACTTTTTTAAAAGTATCTTATCAATTTGCCCATGCCATGAACTTGATTTTTCAAGTCTATTGGGACCATGGTTAAATTATGGATGGCATATGTCATTGTACTTGCAGAAATGAGATTGTAATACTGAGCTGGGCATAATTTGTCTTTTATTTCCTAATTTGCCTGACAAGGGTACTTAGTTTGGAATCCCAGATAAATCCCCGACTTCCAAGTATCCTGAGGTCAGCTTCATGTTACTTAAAACATTGTCACTTTAGCAGAGGTATTTTTGGAACTCCTTGGATGTTTGTTACTGGACCACTTTTGCTTCAGGTTATCATCTTGAACCACCCCGGCGAGATCAAGAATGGTTATTCCCCAGTTTTGGACTGCCACACAGCCCATATTGCTGTGAAATTCAGCGAGATCAAAGAAAAGTGTGATCGTCGTTCTGGCAAGAAGCTGGAGGAAAACCCCAAAAGTGTCAAGTCTGGTGATGCAGCTATGATTGTCTGCCTTCCCAGCAAGCCCATGTGTGTGGAGGCTTTCTCCTCATACCCACCACTGGGACGTTTCGCCGTCCGTGACATGAAGCAGACAGTTGCTGTTGGTGTCATCAAGGAGGTCACCAAGAAAGAGGTTACAGGAAAGACCACCAAGGCCGCACAGAAGAAGAAATGATTAGCTCGGGATAAAGACCCGTGGCTCGCCAAGGGCAAAGCAAATTATAACATCGGAACCATCAGTCTGCTTATTGTAATCTGTTCAATGGAAATGCTCGCTCAGCTTGTTTTAATTTCTTGGTCTACATGGTTGCTACAATCTAAATTGCACCGAAAAGAATTTAGAAGGAAAAGAATCCTTGGACATTAAGGACTTAATTTTATTGCCACACTTCAAACGAAAAAAAATAAAAAATGTCAAAGTAATTACTGCTTTTTTTTCATTTACAAGGGTCCCTTGTGCTTGTTGGAGCTAAGATGGGGGATGGATAGTCTGCATGTAACCTAGCTTGATCAGTCATGATTTGCCCGTTCCAGGGTGTGGAAATTGTGTGGATCGATGCTCATGATATAAATCACTTGATTGCCTGGTACAGACTCGGTTATTTACAGGCCGTGCGGCGTTAAACAAAACCAATCCAGGGTGTGCTCTTACAACATTGGGTAGCCTAGTGGTTAAAGCGTTCGCTCGTCACGCCGAAGACCCGGGTTCGATTCCCGACATGGGTACAATGTGTGAAGCCCATTTCTGGTGTCCCCCGCCGTGATATTGCTGGAATATTGCTAAAAGCGGCGTAAAACCATACTCACTCACTCACTCTTACAACATTGCTGATTTTGACAGTTTTCTTTCATTGGAAAGGTTCTGCAATAGGCTCACAGGGCAGAAATGAATCTTGATCTGGGAAATATTTCAAATTGTGGAAGGTCGATGTCTAAGAATTTTAACCATTGTATTTTACACTGCACTTGGCAATATTCCAGCTATGTGAGAGCAGTATGTTAATATAGTTGAGTCCTGAGCATTGATCTATGCATTTAGGATACAAGGTGCAACAACCAATCCCTTTAGTTGCCTCTTACAAGCATGGTTGCTGAAGGCTAATCCCTTCATGGTTGAAACATTAGTTGGTTGGTTGTTTATCGCTGCACTCTGCAATATTCCAGCTATATGACTGTGGTCTAAATAATCGAGTCTGGACCAGCCAATCCAGTGATTGACATTATGAGCATCGATCCGCGCAATTGGGATCGATGACATGCATCAACAAAGTCAGCGAGCCTGACCACCCGATCCCGTTAGTCGCCATTTACGGCAAGCATGGGTTGCTGAAGACCTATTCTACCCCGGAATCTTCACGGGTCTGAAACATTAGTGTGGCGTGTAGATTGGTTATGGTAGTCCTGAGTAATTTGGAGTAAAAGTATAGAATTTGTACTAAATTTCTAAATATGAAACATAATCTTATAATTTCCTGTTTGACACTACAAAATGAAGTACACTGCCAAGCTAGGAAGACTCGGGTAACATGTTTCTCAATGCTGACGTTTGTAAAATTGTACACACGTATACATACTATGACGCTCGACTTGACCTGCAAACGTTTATTGACAGTCTTAAGCTTGGATCTAATTACTTGAACTAATGTATATTATATTTCCAGTATTTACCCAACTCTGAATAGAGCCCAAACACATTTTCGTGATCAAATTTTTATACTTTTATTGACCAAGTTTGTTAAACCTGTTTATTCACCTTCAATTCGCTGATGGGATACGATATGTTTTTGTGTTTTGAAAGAGCACATGAATACTCGATAAATCCCTTTTTTTTTTTTGTTACACTGTGAATCGACTTCTATACTAATCTTTACTTTATGCTCGCAAACGTGCAACGTTAGATCGTGTTAGGTATACAGAGAATGTATACTGTTTTGTTGGTCATCTACGACTCTATCTTCGTTAAACCGCTGATTATCTATAACGCGCATCAATTATTTGCACACCACAAGGTAGCGAGAGATCACTAACTGAAAGTATTGTTGACCGCTTGCTTCGGTACGATTAAGACAATGTGCGGATCTACGTAGAGGGGAATGTCCGAGTAGTAGTTGAAAATATTTGAAAAATAAACAAGAACTCTTTGTTGTCTGTATTTATTCTGCGTGAGTCGACCTTGCGTGATGCACGAGGAATGCCTTCCCTGCCGCTGTTGCACGTGCGCCCAGCTCCGTCGCGAGCTGACATTTACAATGCATGGTACACGGTTCTTCATTTTGTTGGGTCCTCAACTAGTATTTATCAATCGCTTGCACATTGTTAACACATGCTGATGAGTATAATTGGAAAATATAGAGCCCCGAACAAGCGATATTTGTGTTACCTAATTTGTTTTTTCTCGTCAAAGGTTTATCTAACTGCTATAAATATGAACATTGTTGTGGGTAACCTGCTCTAACACAAAATATATACATATTATTTTGAGCTTTTAAGCATTATGCAAAATTATGAAAATATTTAATAGTTAATATCACATCATGCCTTCATGTGCCGCAGTAGCTGAGATTGACAATTACACGCTTTCAAATCTAACGATGCGGGTTCGAACCCCGCTGGCGACACGTTTTCGGAAAAAAATGAAAATATTCACTTGTAAATAAATGTAAAAAAATAGTTCCGTCTGTTCCATGTGGAAATTAATTCAAATGTTTCTTGACAAGCAACTCTCCATTCCTGAAAAATAATGGAGCGTTCAAACAATTGAATGACGTCACAGATGTGTTTTAATTGTGCAGCTTTTCACTCGCTTGAAAATAAATCGGAACACAATTGTGTTCGATCTGAATGGTATATTATATATATTGGGAACAAACCTCACCGCTCATCATTTAATGCGTTATATTAGTACAGCACTTGGAAGGACAGATACCCCTATAAATATATACGTAGCAGGTGTACATTGCCATTCGCGGCTCAGCTGTTCACAGTGGACTGCCTCCGAGCCGGCCAGTCATTTCCTCCCTTAATGCTAAACGCCAGGCAAGGAAACAACAAGTACCATCTTATAACAGCTTTTTGTATGACAGGCCGGAAATCGATCCGCAGACCTTCCGCTCTCCGGGCAGACGCTCTAACCTCTAGACCACGAAGCCGGTCTCCTGGCAGACGCTCTACCCACTGGACCACGAAGACGGTCTTCTGGCAGACGCTTAGATGTCAACTGTGTTACACGACTTAAGGACATAAGGAGTTCCTTCGCGTATCGTATTGGCCAACGCTTTTTCTGTTGGTGTATTCGTTGGATTATCCCGGTCAGGGGGAGTAAACAATATTATTCCCTTCAAATGATATGTTTAAGTAAACCAGGTGAAATGAAACGCCTCCGTAGTCTTGTGGTAGAGCGCCTGCCCGGAAAGGTTAAAATATGGTCCTTGCTGCTACCCTGCCCGGCACTCGGCATTTAGGGGACTGTCGGCCCTGCGTCCGTATACTGTCTAAGTGGGACACACACACACACACACACGCGCGCGCGCGCGCACGCGTGGCATGCACGTCGCTATAAAAGTGCAATAATCTTGAACCTGACGTTAAACCCGATTTCACCTCTCCTCACCCCATCAGCTGATACTAGCTGTAAGACATAAACTATTCACAAAACTACAGAACATAAAGTTTAATTATCCACTACCCGCACACCCCATTATCCAGAGTTTTATATCTCCATTCTAGTATTATGATTATCAAAACAGAATCCCCAATCTTAAGTTTTGTTGTTTAACGCCGCACTCAGCAATATTCGAGCTATATGGCGGTGTTTTGTAAATAATCGATTCTGGACCAGCCAATCCAGTGATTGGCATGAGCATCGATCCATGCAATTGTGATCGATGACATTCATCAACCAAGTCAGCGAGCCTGACCACCCGATCCCATTACTCGCCTCTTACAACAAGCATTGTTGTCTTTTATGGCAAGCATGTGTTGCTGAAGACCTATTCTATCCTAGATCCTCCCCGGCTATCTATCGGCTTGTGATGTCATGCCCTGTGCATAAAATATTTCACGCACACTTCTAAATGTATATCATGTCTATAAATCTGTAAAACTTGCCCAGAAGGCGGTGGCTCATGGGCCAATCTGGTGATGCTGACCTCCGAAATCTGTACTTCTCCAATAGATTGTCATGGGCCGAACCAGCCTGCATGACCTTTCATTTGGTAGAGTGCTATAGCTCTTCGTGTCAAATTAGCTGGAGTATACCACTCCTTTATCCCCAGTCTTTGCAGCTTGGAGATCCGCTGCAGCATAAGATTGTCCTTGTTGACACTCCATCGTGGGTGGGGAAAGGGGGTGCAGCATTACATTACATTCGACATAGCTTCCCAATACACTGGTTCAAAAAGACGTCACATTGAATCTGATGAGACTACTACGCCCACTCGATCCGACTTTTGGCCACGTTTCTTTGTTATAGAAGCTTTAGACAACGAACCAATCAAACTGAATCCATTTGCAATCTCCAAAGGTATAGTTGGTATCTGTGGAGAGGTTACAAATGTTACAAAGCTTCGTTCTGTAGAGTGTGCACGGAGACAACAATCTGTCAATTTTCTCAAATTAAACGAGTTTGTCAATATGAAGGTTGTTGTCTCAGTGCACAAGACAGAACTTGCTGCCTGTCCGGCATGTTCAAAGACGATATAGCCAAGGAACTTAAACAACACTAGGTCACAGCTTTACTTTACTCCAACCGACCAGCACCTACCTCTTTACTTTCACCCGAACGTCTATCCCTCTATCGATCAAAGCTGGTTACTGTAACAATGGAGTGGAGGTGTATATCCCCAATCCACTCCGGTGCTACACCTGCCAAACGTTTGTACATGGACCCAAGTCCTGCCTCTGCTGTTTGTTACCGATGTGGTGACAAGCACAAGGCCACTGACTGCAGGAAGGAGGTGAAGTGTGCAAACTTTGGTGGGAACCATATGGCCTCTGCAAAATCCTGCCCTGTGTGGAAACGTGAATCACAAATTATAAAAATCAAAACTGAACATAATCTCTCGTGCCATGAAGCTAAGAAGAGAGTTGTAGGTATTATCATAACCACTTCTACTCTCTCTTACTCTGCTGCTGTCTCTCGTCCTCCTGTCACTACTGCCTCTATCGACTGCCAGACTGATCTGACATGAATCAAGTCTGTCACAACTGCCTCTATCGACTGCCAGACTGATCTGACATGGGTCAAGTCTGTCACTACTGCCTCTATCGACTGCCAGACTGATCTGACATGGGTCAAGTCTGTCACTACTGCCTCTATCGACTGCCAGACTGATCTGACATGGGTCAAGTCTGTCACCACTGCCTCTATCGACTGTCAGACTGATCTCACATGGGTCAAGTCTGTCACTACTGCCTCTATCGAC